TAACTAAGCTATCAACAACTCTTCTAGATTATCTTTAACAAGTAAAAATACTCTAACTAAGTTATCAACAACTCTTCTAGATTATCTTTAACAAGTAAAAATACTCTAACTAAGTTATCAACAACTCTTCTAGATTATCTTTGATAAGTAGAAATAATCCAACCAAGTGTCACCAACTTTTCTAGATTGTCTTTAACGAGTAAATCTACTACAACCAAACTGTCACAATCTCTTCTAGATTGTGTTTAACAGCAGAAATACTCCAAACCAAATTGTCATTAACTATTGTAGATTATCTTTAACAAGTAGAAATACTCCAACCAAGTTGTCATCAACTATTGTAGATTGTCTGTAAGAAGTAGAAATACTCCAACCAAGTTGTCATTAACTATTCTAGATTGTCTTTTACTAGTAGAAATACTCCAACCAAGTTGTCACCAACTCTTCTAGATTGTCTTTAACAATTAGAAATATTCCAACCAAGTTGTCAATAAGATGTTTCTGAACAGTCTTCAAAAGTAAATTATATTACGAGTACTAGGTTTTGAAATAACTATAAAATTTAATATTTAATATGATTCTTGCATAAGTATGATGGAATAATAGGGTTTTTATGTAAAGTATTCTACCCGAACTTTTATCTAAAAGCAACCCTGGTTCTTAATGGATTTTGTTTTCACTGAAGCATTATTATTATAAAAAAAACTATACGATAGAACCGTAGTTCTTTAATGAGAAATTTATTGTCGTACAGTGTCTGAATCGTCAATAATTTTGATATTTTAGTTCCTAAGTGTAAATGAGTATTATTGTACGTCTTCTGCTTTGTCTAAAATATCTTCAACACTTTAATGAATAGAAGTACGACACTAATATGCAGAATTTTGGCAGTATTCTGGCAATGCATAACACAGCTTAAGCAGAAAAAAGGGGCGATGAAACTTTACAACAAAGCTACTACTTATTATTTTATTGCTCGTTTCTTTGCCTACCAATTAAAAGTTACCTTAATTGTTGCAACCCATAACACAGTATAGACCAGATGATTTGAGATACGCATCGTGTTGGAAATCCTGATTCTGTTATCTTGGGAAAATGTGTTAGGATCTATTAGCAGTAATTGCGACGATTTTTTACACTTCCCAGAAGAACGTATTGTGAACGAAATGATTTAAAATTAACAAATTATAATACTATAATGTGTTAATTTATAATAAAGGTAGTTCAAAACACAATTTAACGATTCTCAAAGTTTTCGATATTAACAGTATAAAGATAGTGAAGTAACGTCGTAACCAATCGTTCATGATTAAATTCAATATTGTATATTTATATATAGTTCAGTGTTTATGTTTCGTAATTATCATTTAACATCTCCTTTTGCTGATGTCGTGAAGATGATAATGTATACGAATATTGATTCTTTTTCAACTGGTCGGTTATTCCTGGAGAGTAACATAGTTGTTTGATAGCAGATAAAATTCCCTATAGACCTACTACTAGCCGTTAGCTGAAATCTTAGATTGATGAAGCAAATTTTCCATAATCAAAACTATATATAAACATTTCAGATTGATATAACAATAATGTATTTCGTTTATTAAGACATTTAGGGGAAATCCCTTAACAGTTTTCAGTCGTCGCAAAACAACTTTGTGACTATACTCATTGTGTTGGATGCCTAATTACAAAGTCGTGACGTATAGAAAACGCTGGCGTCGCGATTTTGTTTTATTAGGATATTCTGATATCGACGTAAGCGCCATCTACAGTTCAAAATATTTGTAAATTTTACTTTATGTAAATCGAGTTATAGTCATCATTTATTTTCCCAAACAAATACACATTTTTTTCAAAAGTTCAGTCCTCTTTTTTTATAACATTTTATTTTGAAGTAATCAAACCGTAAAATATAAATAACCTGTTTCGATTGGTCTTCCTACCCTAATGTACTCGTATACCAAAACAAACGTCTTATATATTTTTCTGCAAACTTGAGATGCCACTTTATTGTAAATGAAAAAAAAAGATTAAAGCAGTATTATAATTTCTTGAGATCAAGCTAGATTTTTTTAATGTGATATATTTGTAGTGTATATGTGCATGTACATAAAAATATCGATATGTGAATGTTTTAAAAGCCTATTGTATCGTATTGTAAACAGTATAAATACAAAAATGCTTACTTTCTAAAACTGTGCCAAAGTGATTTGTGTTATAAATATGTTCTTTATAGCTTGGAATGTATTGTAAAGAGTTCTTGATTAAAGTAAATTTTCAAGTCAGTTTTCAGTGTACTAGTATCATGTGCATGTTCTTGTAAATATCTGTATTTTTTTAAACACGCTGACAGTAATGACTAGTCAAAACACAGCATTTAATCATATTATGTAGTTCCTATTCAAAACTGACTTATCAAAAAATATATTTTTTATATAAATCTTAATCTTTTTTTTTCTAAGTTATTCAAGACAGATAAAATGGTATTCAACTTACTAATTCCAATGCCTTGTCTTTAAGGGGTAGTTTTCAAAATAAATAATTTTTTTTATACTTTATTCTAATACTTTCCTTACCAGTTCATTCAAAAAACCTTATGACAACAAACACAGAATTACGACACAAGGAGATAACAATGGTGGAATATCAAATTTTTACAAAAACATATTGTTCTAAGTTTTTTTTCTTCAAAATTGTGGGATTAATAATTGAAATTAAATTCTTAACTACAAAGCATTAGATAGTGAAAAAGAATCATTCAGAACTTGTACTGAAGTAACGAGAATTTAACCTAATTATTCGTAGAGTGAGCCACAACTAGGAGAGGAATGGTACTCACTGCTGTCCTATTGTATTCTTTCATACTATAATTGTAATAAAAGTTTAACCTCTTTACTTCCAGGTTGGAATTTCAACTAGTCGACCTGTCACTTTGAACAATTAATTTCAAGTTAACAGGAAGATTACTCGCACCTGGCCACGTGAGAACTGTAGCTAAAGGGTCAACTTATCCTAGTAGTCTACATCCACGAAGAAGATTTAGTCACCTAGAACCATTGTTCTCTTCACTTTCACATCGCATATTCAATTAGCTTACATTTGCGTGGGAACTGTGGCTATTAGGGGTAGCGCTTATACCCGAACATCTTATTTCTCTGTACGGATTTTAGATGACGTGAATACTATTTTGAATACTTTATTTCACAGTAAAACTTTGGCTACAAGAAACACTTCCATCTGCGATTTTTAATTAATAACGATACTTTTTACTGGAGACTTTAGCTACCACAGACCCAACTTATATTTCAACAATAACTTTCACGTGAAAGGGACTTTATCTTACAAGAACATTCCTAACACTACTTAACGCGGATATTTTACCTACCGCAGACGTATCTTATATTTGAACACTTTACTTTCTTGAGAGGACTGTAGCTAATAAGCTTGTGTGGTATAAATGGACTCTTCAATGTGTATCTCATTATTAGCTATAATATATTTTAGAAGAAATGATGAGAGAGATCAACATCATTTCGCTATGTGTCTGATTATTGGACTGTCAAAGTCTTAATCATTTATTTTACTAGAATTTTGCTAGTATTCAACAGACAGATGAAAATTTGGATGCATTTTTATGCGTATAGTACCTACGCTCTCTAATGTTTGTATTAAGATAACATAATGTAGCAGTTTTACACTAATGGTAACATCGTAAATGATCAATATTCTTTCTTCATGATTTGATTATATTCTATAGAGTGAGTTTCGTTTTTATTACAGATAAATACGTTAGTTGTATATATAATTTTAAGTATGATCTAATAAGGGATGATGACATTAAAATTATCACAGATATAAAAATGTGCTCTGATTATCCAGTGCAGTATTTTCTGTGGTTATGACGTCAGAAAATGGCATTTTGTCGTTTTAACTACGGGGAGGCTTACAGAGATCTATAAGCAGCAGTACTGATGCCCACATGGCCACCTCATTTTTCTAACCGACATAAAAAACAGACGGCAGTCCTCTAATCCTTGAAGCGGGAAAGTTGTGAGGCGTCGAGGCCAACCAGTGGTGAAAAATTCTGAATAACAGAAATGTGACCTATGGAATAAAGGAAGCTTTGATTTGAATTTTATACACCACTTGAACAACTAT